GTGGTGGAGCACGAAATAGAGCTTATAATTGCCGTGTATGCAATACCACGCTGCAGGTATAAACGGCGATGCGCATAATCACGCATTAATTTAATATTTTAATTGCTAAGATTTATGCCGGGAATTACTTCAGCGGGCGCTAATCACTTAACAAGCACCCACACCCATTCATCGGCAAAGAATGAGAATACGCGAGATACGGAGAAAAAGAGCCGAGGGCCGTAAAGTCACTTGCATATGCGCGCACTCACGTGCATGTATAAAAAGTCTTGGAAAGTCGTGGCGTCGAATTTAAGGGTTTATTACTAATTAAGAAGGGGGCGCGAGGAGGGAGGAGCGAGGAGTGGGTGCACGCTCGCCTGCCTACGACACCTCTTTATTTCTCCGTCTCGTCTTTTCACGCGCCCTCTATGGAGGCGCGTTTCCGCCCCGGCGGAGGCATACACGGGACGCGCGATATCATTCCACCCACTCACACGCCCCGACTCCGCTTGCTTTTAAGATTTTCTGCGCGCTCGCTTTCAAGCGCGCGAAAACTCATTCCGCGGGATGAACAGCCGGGCCCTTTTTCTTTAGCGGAATTGTTCGCAGCCGCTCATTGGGGGCATCGCGGCCTTTGGCTGCTCGATTGGTCGGCTGAATCCTTGATGCGCGCGTCAGCCTTGCTTACGAGGATCGGCTCGCTTCCCTTTGACGCTTCATCTTGAAAGATTTCCTATTATAAATGGCTCCGCCACTTTCCTCTCTTGCTGCTGCGCGATTTCGCACGCGGCGTCGACTGTAACGGCGATGGCGGTGGCGGTGGCGGTGACGGTGACGCTGACGGCGGCGGCGGCGGCAGCGACGGCGACGGCGACGGTGACGGCGACGGCGACGGCGGCAGCTCCTCTTTCTCCCAGATTGTTCCTTTGGCTTTTTAATTGGTTTCGCTACGGAAGATGAACATCAAAGTTCCCGTTAATTAAATAGTTACTCCTGATTAAGGGCGTCGTTAGGAGGCCAAACGGGATTTCAAAGATTCAAGGGAGATTAAAAATTATTTTTTTCGGAATACGCGCTCATCGTCGAATGTCGTGGACCATTAAGTGCGTCTCGGGCTTACGCTAATGTGACCTTGAATACGTAATCGCCGCCGTCACGGAGATGGCTTTAATGCTTGGGCACGAGTCATCTGACCTCGGGGCTTGTTAGTCGAGATGAGTGGAGCCAGGGAATGGATTGACTGTCGCAAGGAGTCACGCGGACGAATTTAACAGAGTGACGTAAAAAGTGATGTAAAAACGATTTTGGCCAATAAAAAGGTACGCACGATCGAGCCGAGCGGTTTAGCCCTCGGCTAAGGCGGCTAATTGGATTGAATGATTTTTCTCCTCGTTCTTGGCCCGACCGGGTCGTTGTCCCACTTTGACTGTGTTTGCCGAGGCTTGCCTGTTTATCTCGTGGGAAAGTTGTGGCAAGGAAGCGTCAGTAACTGGCGAAGGGGCGCAAAAAGAAACCGAGACGACTCCGGGGTCAGAGCGACGGCACTGATCTCGCGGGGTGAGCGCCCATTGTCGAAGGTCACCGAGAATAACCGTTAAACGCGGCAAACGGCGGCGGTGGCGGGGAAGGGCGGACGCTTGGCGAAGAGGTGGGCCGGGGAGGAGGGTGAGATTGAAGCGAAGGGTGGTCAGGACTGGCTTGGCTTATAAGAAAGTGTAGAAACGGCGATTCATGAATGGAGGCATTTAATAGCTGGGGTGAGCGAGTGAGCGAGCGAGAGAGCTGAAGGAGAACAAGGAGAGAGTGAAGGGCCAGGAGAAACTTAAGACGGACTTGGGAGCAAAATGTCTCAAGGGAGAGGCAACCGGTGCTGTTTCGGTGACTGTCGCGCGCACAAACGGAACAAACGACTTTTCGCCGTAAAGCCCCTCCGCTTGTATATACATGTACCTGACTAAAAAAGCCAATGTAACCGCCTTGTTTTTTTTTTCCTTTCTTCTTCTTTTATTATTATTATTATCATTATTATTATTATTATTATTTTTTTTTTTTTTTTTTTTTTTTTTTTTTTTTTTTTTTTTTTTTTTTTTCCGGTTAAGAGTTATCCGGATCGACTCGCCCTATTAGAGCGACTTTAATGTACAGATAACTTTGTTTTGAAGTGCATTGCTTTATTCCGTAGTTAGATCAAACGTTTCAACATATTGCCTTAGTCTCGGCATAAAAAAAACAAAACAAAACAAAACAAAGCCAAAAAAGAAAAAGAAAAAGAAAGAAAACCAGAAAAAAAGCAAATGCAATAACAAACGATCGACAGTCTAGAGAAATAATTATGCTGATATGGCATTTTGAAATAAACGACTAGTGTACATTAAAGTAGATTGAAGTAAATATTTATTTTATTCATTCCATATGCACAGAATAGCCATCTATATTATATCATCTATCTTATATGTAAAAAGAAAAAAAGAAATAGAAGAAGAAAGAATGAAAATACAATAATAGCCTCGCTAATTATCAAACCTTTGTATCGTATTTTCTTCCTCCGATGAAGGATTCTTCGGGTATACATGTATCTTGAAAGCCATTGAAAAGAAAAAGTAAGAATAATGGGTGAAATGGACAATATGAGAAAAGTGACGTTGACTTGAAAGGTACGTGACGACGCAAAGACAAGTGAAAAGAGCAAAGGTCGAAAGAGCGCCAAAATTTTGTCCCCCCGAAAGAGACTATCTCGCTCGCCTTCCTTAGCTCGCCGCGACCTCTAATCGCGAATAAGGAGTAATAATAACAAAGCCGTCCACGTAATTAGATGCTAATAATCGGCACCCCACCCACGTTTCCGACTCTCGCCCAGTCACGCCTCTCTTTATCTCTCCAGTTGTCTGAATGCCGCGTCATTTGTCCTACGCTTCAGCAGCCCTCAAGAAAATCATCCCCCGCCTCAAGAGCTTATTATTATCCTAATTATAGTATAGTATAATGAACGAAACTCGACAGCCACGCTACGATTCACCCTTTGCCCTACGATTCGCTTCTTTATCTTTCTCTTAGCATTGAAGCGTTGCTCACACGTCGCGTACTATCTCTCCCTCTCACTATCTCATGCTCGCTATTGCGCGTCGACGACACTTGGAGAGCCCCCGGAGAGTGGCAATTCTAGCACTTGGCCACTTTTTTCCTCTTTTCTTCTTTATTTTATCATTTCCATTTCCCTCGAAATATATCAGACCCTCCCCTCCCCCGCACCACATTTCCTCCCTCTCTCTCTCTCTCTCTCTCTCTCTCTATCTATCTATCTATCTATCTATATATCTATCTATCTATCTATCTGTCTCTCTCTCTCTATATATATATATATGTATGTATGTATGTGTGTGTGTGTGTGTGTGTGTGTGTGCGCGTGTGTCTGTGTGTGTATATCTGTCGCTGTGGCGTCCCATACCACTTCTTCTTCATTCCTCTGTCTCCACAGGTGTTTGCTTTAATTAGACACTTGGCGAGGGCGCGTGCCGATACGTATGTAGCCTGTCGCATCTACTCCGCCTACATTCGGCCATCCACCGAGTAGCAATTGGTTGGCTGAGTAAGAATTATAGGCGCGAGGGCGACGGAAAGAGTATTTCGAGAAGTCGAGAAGATGGCATCGCGAGGCCTTTAACCCAACGAGATGCGCGCCATCGTTGATGGAAAAGACGAGATTGCTCCACGATGCGCGAGACATATAATTCATTATTCCGATTTGCCTCGCCTGACTTCCTTTGCTCGCGTTCGCTCGATCCGCCACTTCATCCGGAGACCCCGAGCACGAGCTCGCTATCGGGATTGTTCTAATTAGCACGGGATGCACATCTCGGGAATAAAGAATGTCGCCCGAGCATCGAGCATCCGCCTGTAAAAGGGCTTGCGTTTTTCGCTGTACTACACACGTTGTGCGCGCCTCTTGTTCTTTTTACGGCGTTTGTTTCTTCTCTCACTCGTGACCTCGAGAACGCGAAAAACCCAGCCGAACCCCCCAACCCGACCACCTACCATTTCTATACGCGGGCGCGCGTACACGAAGGATTCGCTCGTGTAGTCGCGAAAATGCGGGATAAGAGTCGAGACGCGGATTCGTGCTCGGCGAATTCTCGCAGATGTTAGCCGAGAATCCCCTCGCTTGGAAGCAATCTTAAAAAATTGCTCCGAGCGACCCTGAACTGCTGCTGGCAGTCGTTACGGCGATAAGATCGCTGCGGCGAGTTGGTTTTGTATGTCATTTAACAAAGGTTCGCGACGCTTGCCGAAGCATTTTTCACCGCGACAATCCGTGCACTCCCGCAATAAAAATTACGGCAAGTCCAACGACGAAGGCATAAAGAAATGGACGAGGATAAAATCCTTTTAAATATAATCGTGGAGGGGCTGAAATTTACGCAAGAAGAAACAGCAGCGCCTGACTCTTTCGTTAATTCGTATTGTTCCGATCGACTTAGGTGCAACGCCGAAACCCGATAAATTCAGAACAAAAGGACAACGTTATCATTGGCAATGTGGATGGGGGAATAAGTGAGATTAAAAGAGTTGAGAGGACATTTGAGCTTTTGACGAGATGGGTGGGGACAGGCCTTCTTCCAAAGAAAACAAGCGTCATTTACTTTCGGGAAATTCAATTAATTCCTTATAATCTAGCAAGCCGATATCGTCCATCTTATCCTCCTTAATGCAAGTTCTCCAATTTTATTTACCGATTGTACGCTCGTATTGCGCGCAATCATAGCGAGAAAAATTGGAAAGCAAAATGAATGAATTGTAAGATGTTCGCAAATTTAAAAAAGTAAATATGTTACTGATTTCTGGAAATTTATTGTCGCTCCGCGAGCTGTTAATTTGATGGGAGGATATTTGAAGCGATAATTTGCCCGTCTATCTATAATTCTAGGCCTATAATTCTAGAAATTAAATTTTCAAATTAAATTTTCAAATTAAATTTTCAAATATCAATCATGACTTATGGCCCTCTAATTGTCTCGTTACAGTGAGTTTTATTACATTCAAATGGAGAAATACGCGAGACAAGCAGTCTCGGAAGGAGTTAAAAATGTCGAAGATCTCCAAGTTGGCGGGGACTCTGAAATCTATCGGGTGCTCAATCTACACTACAATCGTAACAACCACATTGAGGTATGGAATCCCCAGGTGCGCAATTACACAGAACACGCACACGCTACTTTTCGATTATTATTTGCTGCTTATGATAATTTTCATTTCTATTAGTTATATAATGAATGCTTCGATTATGTAGTAACGGATCGATTATTATTTACTACATACTTAGCCGTCGAGTCATATATGATAATAAGAAAAGAAAATAGAAAAAATAGTTAAAACAAATAAAAAAACAAAAAAAAAAAACAAAAAAAAAACAAAAGAAAAAAGAAAAAAAAAGGAAAAAGAAAAAAAGATTAAAAAACAGAAAAAATGTCTCTCTTTCGTGTACGCACGAGAAAATATTTGATCAGTGTAAATATATTTTAATTTAATAATAAATACGCTACTTCGCTTTTAATATGTATGCTATGAATGTCGCAATTATAATAGAGCTTGTAATAAATGAGTCAACCTCGCTAATAAAAAGCGTTGTTAATTTCAGGTACCGTCGAACTTCAGGTATGTTGTCGAACAGACGCTCAAGGAGTTCTTCAAAGCGATTCAAGCTGGCAAAGATTCGGAGCAGTCTTGGAAAAAATCCATCTATAAGGTGATTTCAAGGCTGGATGATCCTGTCCCTGAATACTTCAAGAGTCCTAATTTCCTGGAGCAACTCGAGTGAAGGAAGCCATGTCGCTCCTCGCGGTATTCTCGGTTGTTGCCATTACCTATGACAAGGAAGAACCTTGTCACTTAGTTTATTTTTAAGTAAAAGCTAAAGAGAGATAGAGACCTTCGTCGAACTCCTATGTTGGAGTGTAAAATATACCGCAGGTATCCCTAGTAGTCACATATCGAAGCGAATAAAACCAAAAATGCTGAAATAACGAAACCGAGCAGAGAAATGAGCGAACGCTTGCGAAGGGAATGAGTATGTGAGTTGAAAGGATAGGACGAAATGTACCGTATTCGTCAAATCCTCGTTTCACGTTACTTTTCCCATGGAGTAGGGCATAGAAACTCGGTAGTTTTCGACAATCCAAGCGAAGCCAAATAATGCTGAGAGAAAGTTACGGACGAAAAGGTACGCGGATATGGAAAAATTCGTTTGTAAGACCCGAGGATAACAGAACGAATAGTTGGAAGAATAGCGAGTGTCGATTAAACTAAAAGAAGACACATGAGAACAATAATAATGGCGAGGACACGCCAATCAAGGTGTCCCGTAGCAAGTTGCCCAGGTAGCAAGTTGACTACCCGGGTAAGCTCTAATGAATTTCCTCGAATCGCTAATCGTTAACCGGGTGATATACGCGCCTGAGCCGCTACCAGATATGGCAGCAAATGAAGAAAACGATGAAGCCGGAGAAGATGCTGAGAGGAACGTCACATCGACGACAGCACATGACGACTAAAAGTAGTTAAAAAAAAAAAAAAAAGAAAAAAAACCGAGATGCTCGTTATGTTAAGTCAGTCGCAAAGTACGTGACGCAATTTTCAAGCGAAATCATAAACTTCGAACCGTTCGTATAATAAATATTATCGATATTGTCTTTACTACGATCTTATAACGCTAAGAGGGAAAGTCACAAAATTTCATTTATTTTTTTTTTTTTTTTCCCTTCAAATCAAGTACATCCAAAAAACAAAACAAAAAGAAAAAAATAATGCAATTTATTTAATAAACGATGCTGTGCAGCAGAGTCAGAGGATGAGATAATGAATCGTCTCTGTTCCTCGTCACTTTGGGTACCAAGATCGACTCTTAATGTGTATCCCCTCATCAAATGAACGAAATAAACGAAAATTTTCAATAAGTCCGGGTCGAGGAATCCGTACTTGTTTGTCATTGAATGAGCCCCATAACTGGATTCTTCGATCGCTTCGATGAGAAAAAAAAGATTTATCGATATATGATAAATTTTTACGTGTTAAAATTTATAATTAATGATACAGGCAACGAGGTGAAACGAATGGCGCGACTCTTCGTTTCACGTCGCTGCCTTTGATGTTCAGTCAAACTGAAAATGTTCATATACGAGAGAGCGAGAGAGAGAGAGAGAAATAGAGATATACTTTCGCGGTAAAATAACTTTCGTACTAAGTGTTAAATGGGAAATTGATCGGTCGATCTTGGTACCGACTCTGCGAAACTAATTATTATTACGAGTCTCGGGTAATAATGCTGTTATAAAGAGCTGAACGCGATATATGATGGCAACAGCAATATGGAAATGCATATTTTCGGAAGCTTTTGTCGAAGGAATATGTCAAGAAGAAAGCGCTTCGCTAATCTCGCCGACAACAACTGTGCTAACGACGAATTTCCATCGATTCACGCATCAATTGGCGTAGCCTGTATTTTAATAATACCGAACTTGGAGAATAGAGTTGTGTCAAGAAATCGTCATACTCGTCTTGAGAATTGTATTCGCTGAGGGTAGAACGTTTTCTTCTTGTAATATTTATAATCGTGAGTTGGCGACGAAAGCATTGAATAGGTATTAATGAAAAGAAAAACAAAACATAAAAAGCGTAATGAAGAAAAGTAATGGGGAACCGCAGGTTCTTAAGATGTATATAATTATGTTCTGTATAGGTGATTAATGTGTTGGATAATGACGTGACGGGAAATGTGAAATTTGAGATAAGTGTCGTGCTGTCTCTTGGCGAAAGAATCCAAGTGAAATAATCGACGCTAATATTTATTTACCTTTTTTTTCACAAGAGACACTCGGCATTATGTAGATATGTTTGTCGCAAGTTTTTCGGTATGATAACAAAAGTACACGCATTTGACACAATAACTTTACAACCACACGTACACATCATCAAAACGTTTAAAGCAAGTCAAAGGGGTCGTACTTTTAAATCGTAGACAGATGCAACGATTGAAAGCAGTACAGAAAATTTCGAATTTTCTTCTTTTGTTTTCGTAATGGTTTATCGTAGTAAATGTAAATTAATCACATCAGGCCGATTATTAAAATATTAAGAATAATAATGCAATTTATATAAAGTAATTATTTTACGTGCGTAACGACAAAAAGTTTGAGAGGAACCAAGTCAAAGAAGAAATTTTAATTAGTTATCTTATAATAAATGAGTCAATTTGATAAACAAAACAAAAAAAAAACAAAAAAAACCGGCGGCGTCCTATGGGGGGTGGACGACATTAGGTAAACAAAAAATTATGAGGAAAAATGTATACTAACTAGACGCGGGTACGTATTTATAGAGTAGATTATATTAAAGAACAAATAAATAAATATATAAATTTTATATATATATATAAATATATACATATATATTATATATAAATAAATAAATAAATAAATAAATAAAGAAATTAATTAAATAAATAAATAAATAAATATATATATATATATATATATATATATATATATATACACACACGCGCGCGCGCGCGCGCGCACGCATACACATATACATATATACGTATAAAATTAAAAATGGTGTATATTAGAAACTCGAGACAATGAAACAAAAGCAAACGATTCATTGAAGACACAACTTCTGGTATTGAAAGCGTTTCCTTGAGTGTCGAGGTAATTTAATAACTTTGATTGAAATGTTAGTGTATAAAGTGCGTAGAGATACAAGTCATATTAACACGTAATTACACATACACTTGTAATACAAATACATTTAGAGTCGGAGTCAGACAACAGCGCGAGAACCTTCGACAGAATGAACAGAAACTGTATACAATAATGATCCTCTTATTAAGTAATTAGTTGTACTTTGTAGATAGAATTTTTTCAAAAAAAGATATATTATATGTATATATATATATATATATATATATATATATATATATATATATATATATATATATATATATATATACATATTTATATATATATATATATACATATTTATTATGCAAGTTTGTATCCAGCGAGTCGATGCGATTAATTTAACATTATCTACTTATACATAGTATTCTCATTTGATTTATTAATAATCAACAAATATATAATATTTGTCATTAGAAACGATGGCCGATCGAGATGATGATGATAGATGCCATCGTTGATAGTGCTAACAACACGCAAACATCTTATTATACAATTATACAATTATACATATTATAAAAATTAAAATTAGCGTCACAAAATGTCACTTACATTAATTTAATTGATGCGCAGTTTTTCTTGCAATCCGCTTGTTCCACTTGATTTATTTTGCCTTATCCTTATCCCTTGTTTACGTCTCATGTCTTTCTGGTCCCACCCTAGCGCAATGCTGTATTTTTAGTTACAATTACAATTAATATTATTATACATTATTTATATTATTATAATAGTGATTGATTACAATTTATGTAGTATGCCACCACGCGTCATACACTTTTTGCAAGCGGTGAGTCTTAACCTAGTCACGAGTCACTATATTTTTAATTAATTATAATTCTATTGATTGATTATTATTTAATTTATTATTATTACTACTATTATTATTATTATTACTATTATTATTATTATCATTATTATTATTATTATTATTATTATTATTATTATTATTATTATTATTATTATTATTACATTATTGGTACTCTTATTCACCTAAATAAAACAAAATCATGGAGACACTGTGGCTTTATTATGATTTTTTACTTTATCCCTACCCGCTACAAACTTCATCATGCTTTACAATTTCTCCAATATAACAAACGCTTCTTAGAATTTACTTTTATTTATTGACTTAATTTGCACAATACATAATACAATTGAAATAAAAACAGGAATAATGATAAGTAACATAATACATACAAAAATCTCTGGAGATAATTGGAGAAGTCAAATGATCGAGGAAACGTGCAGACAAATTGTCGAATCGATTAATTTTTTTCGACGAATGATACTCCGATAGCTAGTGATAAGCGTCTCGGCCTACGTTTTTGGAATCGCACGCGTCCCACGTCCGAAGGACTTTATGAAATTTGCCGCGACGCGACACGAAGCCCTGTTTCGCTCAACAGCGCAGAAAAAATACTATTTAACTATTTTACGAAAACTCGCTAAATTAAATTGCTGCTAGTAAAATAAATAATAAAAAAAAAAATAATGAATTCCTCGCTCGATTTTGGCCTAACGCGAGAAAAAAAAAGAGATATTTCACACTTTCGGCACTATTGACCTATATATATATATATATATATATATATATGTATATATGTATATATGTATATATATATATATATATATATATATATACATATATATGAAAAATGTCTGCGGTGGCGTTTTCGTCGTTTGGTCTAAACTGATACATTTCGTGCCTGAACTATTTGCGTGTGAGCGTGGGAGGGCATGTATCGGTAGCGCATGCTTACGTAATAAATAATAAAGTATTAATGTCGGAGTCTCTTGGACGTGGGACGGGACGGAACGGCAGTTCGACTAAATGTTCCTAAAAATCAAAATTTATTTATTGTGAATCTATGAAGATTGTGATGGACGTAAAAATTTTGTATTCGCCAGCGATTCGGAGTACATCGAATGAAAAAATATCTGTCTTGACTCCGGAAACAGACACACCTATACACCAACAAATTGTAGTATATACCATTAATTCGCTATGAAATGCGCGATTCTAACTTATTGGGCAAATGTTTATTAAAATATATGGACGCCGCCAGACATTTGTGAGATTCTATTAATTATCTTTCGTTACGTATTTAGATATTTTCTTTCGAAATCGTATATCGAACGGATTTTTCTGTATAAAAAAAGAAATAGAAAAAGAAAAAACAAAGTTAGAAAAATTGCAGTCAGCCAAAGCTTTAAGAGCATGGAAAATTTTCCATATGAAATTGAACGGATTGATAAAGTAGATTCGCAGAGTCCAAAAAGAATATATAATTTAGGCTTGAAAAGCTAATTGCTTCG